GTAACAGCATTTGAGTCACTTATTTCTCTGCTGGATTTTTGAAACTCCTTTCTGATTAATTAATTATGCAGTTCATAAATAACATAAATTAAGGTTTCTACTTTTTTTTTTTTTAATGTACAAGAATATTTTTTTTTTCTAAGAAAATGTTAACAAAGTTTTAAGTGCATTTACAAAGGCTACTAAATAAGATTTTTAGTTGTCATGTAAACCTGTGCTTCTTTGCAAGCGAAGGCCATTTTATTCCTTTTTTCTTTTTTTTTTTTTTTTTTATAATGGATAACAATTTGTATTTATCTGTACAGGATATTATTTCTGTTGATTTAGATTCCATTGTTTGTTAACAGTGATAAAAATTCTAACTGTTATTGTTCAGAACTAGTGATTTTTAATTGGTAGTCTCCACCAAGGAAGTGATTACACTTTCTGAAATACTTCTTACATTCTGGACTTCCAGTGTAGTATTTAGAAACTCAGCTTTCTTCAAAATGCCTCTGTATGCCAGTTTTAGCACCTGTGAAAATAAATCTGTGTTCTGGAACTCCCTTTGGGCTTCATGTCTTCCTTCTTTCCTCACAGCCAGGGCAGAAACAATAATGGCAACAGTAGTTTTGGCTGAGCAAGATTTGGAGCAAGATTCCAAACATTTGTGTTTTGAGTCGTCTAGCTTTTTTCCCCTGCCATGCATTAAGTATTTTTTTCTAATGACAGGCTTAGTGGTTTGTACATTTAAAATGTAAACTTCAAATTTAAAATAAAAACTAGTATTGGTTTATATGTTGGTTTAATCTTAATAAACCCATAAATTTTCTGAAAGCTTGCTGGTTATTACTTATGCTATTTTCCTATAGCTTGTTTTACTCCTTCTTGCATTGAGACTATACAATGCGAGTTCCTTTGCCTTTTATTAGCTCTCACATTTCATGTTGTTTTTGTCTCTAGCTTGGAAGGACTGATGACATGAGATATGTGTGAGAAATTTCACTATGTAAACCTGAAATAGGAATATTTTTTATTTGGTCTCTCATAAATACAGATGAATGCTGTACTGTAACAGGTTCATCCTTTTCTTAAAACAGCAGATTCTATGAGAAGTACACATATTGCTCACAAAATTTCTAGTGCCATGTCTTCATTGGCAATTGCATAGATTGTACTACGTCTTGAAGACACTACAAGTGTTGCAGAAAAAGTTTATACATTTATCTTGGCTATAACAGGTTCTTTGTAAATTTGTGGCATGCTTCCTTTTTTTTTTTTTTTTTTTTTTTTTTTTTTTTTTTTTTTTTT